ACACGATGAAACACAACGCAAGCGTTGTTTCACGTCGGTTTTCTGTGAGGCCGTGGTATCACTCCGATCACCTGGCTTCCACGCAACGTGTCGCAGGTTCAATTCCCGCACGGAGCAACTCTTTGTGTGATCCACAAATTGTTGTTCCGGGTCTGGGTGTAATGTGTATGTGAACTTGTATGTTTGTAAATGCACCCACGACACAGGAGAAAATACAAGAGTGGGGCAAAGTTTAAAAACAAATAATAAACGAAAGTGTTGTGTACCCGCCCTTAGACCTTTAGACCTTACGAAGGTATTTTAAGGTGTCAAGTGATCTTCAATATTGAGTCGAGTTTAGGTAAAGTGATAAGGGTTTTATAAGTACGTACAGTTACTGTGTTTAACTTTATATATAGTTAAGTATGTTGACTGTCTAGTTGGCCGAGTGGTCGCAAGTATGACTACCGGGCAAGGGGTCTCAAGTTCGATTCTTGGGTAGGGCAAAGTATTACTAGATTTAAAAAAAAAATGTCCGTGGTTGCATGGAGTTTGGAATTGTGGCATATGGCATGTACCCACGGTATATTACATGGGGCTCATAACATAAAATTGTGATAAAGTGGGTGTTACATTGCAATGGTATTAAGTGCCATAATGTGCCTTGGGTGGTGAGCCTATTGCCATATACCGGGCACATCAGATTCCGTGCTACTACTGAGATTTTGTTTCTAAAACCCCAGTAATAATATATAGTAATACTGTATAGTAATAGTGTGTCCTTAATCGATTAACAAATACAAAATACTAGAGCCATTCTTTCCCCAATTTCGCCAGACATCCAACGTTTCCAAGATAGATACTTCAATTTCAATCGAAGTGCTATCCACTTGAGTTGGACACGTAATTGAAACTGGACTCAAGGGTCACCTCTCTAGTTAATAGCAAGTGATCCGACACTATTGAGACACGTATTTGGTACTTATTTAGTTGTTAACGACTGTGCTTCTTTGACCTTCATTTAGGTAATGGGATTTTCGTATTTTTGTACTGATTAGGTGGGATTCTAGTTTCGATGAAACGGGTTATAGCAGCGATCGTCACACTTTACTAGCCAAGGGCCACATATAACTGTGAGCACCAGGGCCCGGGCCGCAGTATATGCGAAGGCGTTTCAAGAGCTAAGGCTTATCTATAGTAGTCCATACCATTCATATAAATGCGAAAATGTACGTCTGTATGTGTGTTACTTCTCTATTCGAAAACCACTAAACCAATTTACATGACATTTGATACGGAGATAGTTTAAATAACTGGGAATATAATAATATGTATTCACAATCAGCTCATTTAAGTATTCACTTCGTACTAGCTGTGCCCGCGGCGCCTCGTCATTTTTGTGAGAGTTGGTTGATTTCAAAAAAGTACTCGTTTATATTACTCATTACAATATTTATTAGAAAATTAAACTTAAAAAAATCACTGTTTTATAATTAGGCATTATAGAATGTTGACATTTTTTTATTATTTCTTGAATATTGGCTGCGGCTGTCTATACCCGCAATCAAACGCCCGCGTATGTCTATGTACCTACCAGCGAGTGTGTGCAGCAGGCTATCGTATCGTGTAATCGTCTCCGGATTCGAACACAGTCGGATTTTGATTTTGTTTATGATTATGGCATAAGTATTGGTAGTATTGTTATTTCATAAGACCTATATGTATTACCTTAACATGCAAATAAAGAGTTTGAGTTTGAGTTTGAGTTTAGTATAGGTATACCTATGTAGTTGACTATTAATTAAAGAAATCTTCTCGCGGGCCACAGTTTGACGACCACGGGGTTATAGGGTTCATGGTTAGATTTTAATTGTAGCTAAACGTATATTCCTTTATTATAGCAAAACAATTTATGAAATATGAATGAAGTAGGGTGTTCCTTGTCTATGGTCCACAGATAATAGTAGATACTAAGTATTCTATCATTTCATTATCAAATAACTCTGTCTGTGGACCATGGACAAGACTTTATTTTTTCATTTTACTTTATCTTTGAACCTTGGTATTTTTAATTTATATGTATATCTCTATTATTTCTATGATACCTTGGTTTACCCTCGTTTTATATTTTATTTTTATTTTTAGTAATTTTAGTTATGTTCTGTGTGTTCTGCGCTTGAATAAATGGTTTTTCTTTCTTTCTTTCTTTCTATTTGTTATTATTGCATCATTCTATAAAAGTAATAAAGTAGTTTTAATATTTTTATAAAATGGAGGTAACAAGAAATAAAATAAAACAATCAAATTCAATGATGATTTTTATTCTAATTAAATTTAAGTGGAAACATGAATTCTTATAACACGAATCTAAAGAAGGAAACGCTATTATATTCTTAATTACGAAATACTTATTAAATTAACAAATTGTCTTTCATTTTGTCATCGTTCAAATAATACAACACAACTTGTGCCAACAAAATTGAACGCAAGCATCAATATTATGGCACGATTGACACGACCACAATGACAATACTAGGTATATACGAAAAAAATACGAAAAAAAACAAAAAAATATCGTTACAAAAAATAAACTTAAAATTATGCAAAATATAATCAAAAACGTCAACGTTGTTTTTTTTTTGCAAAATTGTGCCAAAAAACGAGCTTTTTTAATGAGAGTAGAGGACATACTTTTTTAGGTTTTCTTTGTAAATGTTCATTAAATAGGCCATTAAAATTTCAGTAAAGGCCACAAACAGCCCATACAAATCGAAGACTCAAATATGCTTCTATTAAACCATTAATTGAATTATGAGATTTTTTTTTTTCTTTTTGCCCAATGTTTTTTTTTTCTATTAGTGACTTATACTGCATAGTCCTCTACCTACATTTAACAATACAAAGCTCGACAGTGCCAAATGTAACACTACTTATGTTAAAAGTGTAACAATTATTATGTAACTGTAATTAAAAACATTTTACAATTTTATCTTTACCTTTTTTACCATTATTCTGAGAAGGCACATGAAAATTTCTCTTATAAATAAATTAATCGACAGCGCGATGAAAATAATTTAAAATATTCTTTAACTTATTCCTGTTTTCACTAAAAAGCGAAGGTAAAATGTTTTTTTATATTTTTTGTGTGGTTGCGAATAGAAAGTCGCAAGTGTGTCGTAACATTGAAATCAAAATCGCAAATACGTCGCCAGCCTTTCTTCAAGCTCAATTTATCGTTCTCTAATTCACTTTACGTGTGTGTACGTGTGTGTATTACATTATAATGTAATTATATATGAACGGGTCTTACATACTATATAAAAATACAACAATATATTTCTGGATAAAAATTGTTTCATCTGTTGACCAAATTGAGATTAATTCAAATTAGTCTCGTTGTCTAACCTCGAACCATGGTCTTGAGATTATCTGATAGTTACCAAAGTCAAAATTGACAGTCAAAAGTTCGTTTTTTTTTAAATCAACAGATTAAACAACTTTCGAGTGGTACCTAGGTGATATGCCACAGACAATATCTTATTTTGTAAACACTACAGTATTTTACAATGTTCTATATTATATAAAAAAAATTAAAACACAAATATTTGGATTATTGAACTAAAACAGAGGTATTTTGTATGACTTTTTTTTATTAATCTTTTCTTTTTTTTCCTCAAAAACATTTTTCGTTTCTTAATTTTATCAATGGTTTTGTTCCCAAAACAGATTATGATTGGCCAGCATGATTTAGCTTGAATGATAAGCTATAACAATCAGCGTATGTACACATGTACAGCCGATAGCAATAACAGTGAAATTGTTATGACATGGAATAAGGTCCGTATATAAAAAAACAGAGTATTAAAATACTGGCTTCATTGAACAGAGTATCAGGGAGAATTACGAAAAAAGAGGTTTATAGTAATTTTGTTATAAATGAAGGAACGAATTTTATTCCACAATCATAATCAATTTCATAATAATAACAAAAACAATGTATATCGCTCGCTACCACTACGTTAGAATAAGAAAAATATATATTTTTTATATATCAAACTAATATTACAAAAGCTCATGAGAGTAATATAATATTATATATGATTTTTACATGCGATGCCTTTTTTCAACATTTTCAAATTTGTTATAGAAAAAAAAAGATTTTTTCTTAGTTTTTTCCAACGTAAAGTTACGTGGCCAATATAATTATCTTATTTAAAAAAAACATCGCACATAAAAACCACAGTGTCACAAGAAAATGTCTTTTACATTTTTAAAACTACAATACACTAATAGATATACAAACGATTATACACGTTCCCGCGTTTTTAAGAAAAATCCAAACAATCCAATTTCAAAAAATAAAAAAAGAATTTAAATTGGATCTGGCAAGGATACATTATAAAAAAGGATATGAAACCTTTTTTAAATTTGACTAAAAACAAAACTGTACGCCTCTTACTTAAACCTACACACTTTAAAAACTTAAAAAGAAAAAAAACAAACGATTTTTTTACATGTCTTTAGAATCTGTTGCTTTGAACTGACTTGCGGAATACATATTGTCTTTAATCTATAGTCATGTTTCAAAAAAATCGTTATGAAAGCTGTCTTTTAATCGATGTTATTATAACATAAGATACATTAAATGCATATCACAACTGCCCTCTATCGTCAGTAATGAATATTCAAAATTTTATTTTATCCTGATGTATGTAAAGTACAAAATTTTACTGTAAGTATCATATTTTTTATTCATCAAATATTTAAATCACTACTTCAAAACTATGGAAGCCAAAATTGATGGTTTTGCTAGAAACACCATCGACAAAAATGCGACATTATTATTTTTTATTGTTTATTTTATCAATAAGTTACCTATGCATTTATTGTAAAACGTACGCATCTAATATTATAGAGATAGCTTTTCTATTAAACAGTGGTCCTATTAATATATTTTTCAAGATAATAAGAAAATATCGCAGTGGTCCAATATTCATATTTAGTGGAAATGAATTTTTTTTCTCCCAATCGTTTTAAAATCGACTAAGAGATTATTAGTTACTCGCATTCGAATTTTAACAATTTAAAAAAATGACGCTGTCATTTCGTCGAATGACATTTGGCGGGCTATTCAAAAAAGAGCGCCAAATCCGTCGTAAGATTAGAAGAGCTATCCCATTGTTTCTTTTTTATTAAAAATGATTATCATTTTAATATAATTCATTTATGATTGTGGTTCTGACCCTGCCTCGTTTAAGCAATATAACTATTTTAATGGTACATATTACAAATTGTTATAGTTCCCTTACAATAACTACGTCACTAAAAGCTTGACCGAATTAGGCCGATAGGAACTAAAGTGACAAAATGAAATAAATCTAAGAAAGAATTGAAATAAAAATGTCATTTAAAGAGAAAAATCGAAATGTGCTCTAAAGTTGACTAAAATTTTATTCAATGTTGTTTTTTGAACTGCGATTTTTAACGCTGATAAAATAACTTTATTCTTATTCTAACTCTCACTTACGTTAATTACAAAACTTACGTTAGAGCACTGTAATAGTAACAGCCATGTTGTTTAGCGCCTCGCTATTTGGTACTCGATCACTTCTCACATCAAGAATTTTTACGCTATAAGTATTTTTATAAGCAATTGAAAAATACATCAATATTCATAACAATAAATACAGTACTTACTTTTAAATAGGCCACAGAATACATTAAACAAAAAAAAATTTGGAAAAACAATATTGTACAAATTCAATGAGAAATTCTATTTTTTAATTCTCGATTGTCAGTGATGTTGCGAGACGCTTCCACAGTGGTGTCAATTCCTGTAACTATGAACTCTCTGGTTCATCCCAGTCGATGCTCGCCCATTGTGGCAGCTCCGTTTCGTACTCCCAGCCGGGTCCCTGCGAGAAACAAAATATTAAGACGTGAGTTAGTTTGATTACTTATATGTTTTATTTGTAGAAGCTTGTAATTTTTTCCTCTGTGACATTAAGGTACTCAGATTTGGAAAATGAAAAATACGAAAAACATTCAATTGGTCTTGTAATCTTTTTTTAATATTAATATTATTTTTTTTCTTATTTTTCTATAATCATAAAGTTGGACACCAAATTAACAACCGATATCAATTTAAAATCTTTACATTAAAATCGTTTTGACACGATGTCTATATCTTTGGACACACATAACTATAATTGTGACCAAAAAATCGACTAATACTGATTTTAGTTCCGTAATTGACCGCTAGAGGCGCTGTAAAATTTTCCGTACAAAATATGTACGTCGTCTCTATCGAGTATCGATAAATGCTATAACTTTAAACTCATAAAGTCCGGTCATTAATTTCAGCTGTTATGCTTTGTTCGCATTATGAGTATTTTAATCGAGCAGCGAGTGTTTAGTATATCCCTCTTGCTTCTGTCACAAAATCGAAGCACGAGAGAGTATTTAGTATTTCAGTCAAGTAGTGAGTACTAAATACTCGCTAATTGACTAAAATACTAGCATAGTGCGAACAAAGCATTAGAGCACACTTGTATAGGTTACGACCTTATTGTTTTTTTGTGACAAAATCAAGAAATTAATCGTTAATTCTCTCTCAATACATACCTTGTATTTCCACGCATGCAGGTACATGACGAGGTCCCTCGGTCTGGGGTCCCTGTACCTCACGCGGCACTCGTAGCAGTGAGGGTCTGAGGACAGTGCGTCGGTGGAGCCGCTCGCCGAGCTACTGGCCAGTCCACTCGCCTGGCTAGTGGCCGCTGGAGTGCAGCCAGTTTGCGTCGCCACCGTCACTTTATCAGACTGTTGAAGATAATTTTAAGTTACAATACAAAAAAATATTTTTTTATGAGAAAGAAATGGGCTGACGGATCACGGTAAGCAATCGGCGTCGCCCATGGACACTCGAAACACCAGAGGCGTTACAAGTGCGTTACCGGCTTTTTGGGGATTAGGAGTTTGAAGATTGTGGGGGATTCGGAGATTGGGGAGACTGGGGAAGGGGGTAATTGGGCCTCCGGTAACCTCAATCACACGACGAAACACAACGCAAGCGTAGTTTCACGTCTGTTTTCTGTGAGGCCGTGGCATAACTCCGGTCGAGCCGGCCCATTCGTGCCGAAGGACGGCTCTCTCACACTTTTGTTTTTTTTTAATTGTACATATAACGCACGCATACATATTTGAGATTTATTGTGAAAACCTAAGTTTTGAAGACATGAGTACTGTGATACAAAAATACCCCCATATATAAGGCTGCGCAACATCACCGCGACTGCGCACGCTGCTCATGAGGAAGAGCATCTCTGTGGCTCAAAACTAGTAAAGCTTTACTCAGTATATTCACGTGAGTAATCCGCGATTTTTAGTGAATTAACCCTCTATAGTTATCATTCCCAAAATCTTTGAAAACAGATTAACTCTTTGAGTACCGTCATTATAGACACAATTAAAGAACAATAGTTTGCGGTCACCGGTGTCCTCGCGGTGTTTGACAGTTTAAAGTAAGTAGGTACCTATGCGGTATCATTTTTTAAGGTTATGGTTGTCTACCATCCACTCTGTCATTATTAAATCGGGAGAATGGTGAACCACAGCTACATGTGACCAATATCTGTTCACCTTGATAATAGTGTGTTGACTCCTAGAATCCACGCCTCTACGTCCATTTAATCCAAATAACATGGGATAGGTTTAACAGATGTATTCTAGGATGTCTCTGGGCCGTACTAATTCTACAAATCTTGTTAGAATCGGGCAATTAGGGCTTTGGGCTGATGTTAACGCGTTCCGGACATTAATTTAAGCTTGGAAGTCTTGGAATGTAGTTACTTTATAAATGTGAAACTAGTATTGGTCTTAAAATTGCAGTTGATTAAAAACATAGTGAGTTAATTTTGAGCAAATCACTCTCAAATCATGGGTTTGGAAATTTACAAGAATAAGCTAAATAGCAATTGTAAAAAAGAAGTTTTAGACGTGTAGGATTTTTTTTAAGGGGCGTAAATCATCTAATGACTGCTTCCGCCTGGGTGACGTGAGGCGGGAGTGAGTGTCAGACTCTTACTGACTAAAAACCACCCCGTTCCTTCTCCTGTACGTCGAGCCGGAGCCCCGGTTACCCGTTAGGTTCTCCGCGACTCCGAATCGGCATCGGCCCTGTCTGTGGTGGTCTGATGGCTCTTTGAGGCGCGCGCGGAACGCTCGGCGCCGTACGCTCGGGTCTGTTTCTGGTCGGACGGGGAGCCACCCATGCTCGCCGTCCGCAGGCCCGCGCAGACGTGTAGGATAACTATTTGTTTTTCTTCATTAACTGCTAGAGGTAATCCGATTTTAGAACGATATTTTGACAATAACGAAATCCTATTAATAATGTTTTCGATGCAAAAGGAACCTGTGCATCCAGACTGTTTCTTCTGTACAAGTAGAAAAGACAGATCATGTTTTCATCTATACCTTGGCATCATTAGAGTCTTCATTGAAGGATGGCGATGCAACTGGTGACGGTGCCAGGGTGCACACTGGTGAGTTCACCTCCGATGGAGCCTCCGCACCGCTTGATGGGCTGGGCAGGGTAGCTGAGGAAGAAACGGCTGATGAAATTATGAAGGGAGACTTTCAATTGATTCCATTGTCTTCTTGTGGTATATTACGTAACAGTTATTCATTTTTATCCGATTGAAGGAAGGGTATTGTATTTTTGTGTAACGAATCTTGAATCAGATTCGTCACTATAGCAAATATACAACTACTTTTTTAGTTTCCTTTACGAATTGTGTCATAAAATGAATTCATAATATGAGTTGTTATTTATGAGGTGTCTAATAAAATGAACTTATATAGGTTATTGGATTGTCTCTATAAATAAATTAGTGTCAGATTAAAAAGTTAACTAGTAATTCTACACTTCAAGGTCAGCAATAAATATATAATTTTCGGATAACAAGCAAAAATACTTACGTGTCATGATGGAGGATGGTGTGACTCCTGGGGCAGGAGACTCGAGTCTTGGAGATGATTCCCTGGAGGCCGGTCCAGTGTCGCAGTCATCCTCACCAACTGTTGATTGGAATACAATTAGCTTTGCCATTAACCCTTTGAGTACTGTCATTATAGACACAATTTAAGAACAATAGGTTGCGGTCAACGGTGTCCTCGCGGTGTTTGACAGTTTAAAATAACGATTTTCGACTGCTTCGAGTAGATTAACAGGCAAATTAGTATTATTGACATTTATGCAATGCCATGTTTTGTTTTGAGCATACTAAATAAATAATTGACACGGCAATTTATTGTTAGTTGATAAAAAATGATGTTTAATTCGTCTATAGTTTTTAAGCATTTATACAAATATTAACATGAGTTTTGAACATCTAGACTTAATTTTATGGTAAAATGCTAGTATAAATTACAGAAAAAATACTTCTAGCATTCAAAATAACATAATATCATGCCTTTCATCCCCGAAGGGTTAGGCAAAGTGCACATTACGGCACTTAATGCCACTGTACAATGAAACCACCTTCTTTTCACTATTTATGTTAATGCAATAGGGGGTGATCATATTGCCATATACTGGGCACAATTCCAGACACCGTGCTTCTACTGAGAGCTTTTTTTGAAAAACCCAATAATAGCTTGCCCGACCCGGGAATCGAACCCGATACTCCTTGCCCGACAGTCGCACTTGCGACCCCTCGGCCAACGAAGCAGTCAAAATATTAAATAAAATTTTATTATATCGCTTTCAGCCATCAAATCCTTTCTATAACTTTGTCGTCCCCATCTTCAGTAACAATAAACACTAAAATCTAACCTTTATCATCAGACACCGGTTTGGAGAACAGCAGATCATCATCAGCAGCGTCAACTCCCAGCCAGTTCTCAGCATTGTGGATGGCAATCAGGTCTCTCACCAGCTGCTCATCAGACTTGCCACCCGTGTCACCTCCCTTTCCTCGAAGGGGGCCGAAGACTGGGTGGTTATATAGCGGGTCGTTGACTACCGGGTAACCTGTTTGGAGAAGAAATTGGATAAGGATTAAAAGGTGTAATTAGAGCTGGGATATTCCTCTGCTAGTGTTTTATGCGATTCTGGGTTCTTTCTAGTTTCTTAGTCAGTTTACATTACTTACATAACATAACATCTTTTTATCCCCGAAGGGGTATGCAGAGGTGTACATTACGGCACTTAATGCCACTGTATAATGTAGAAGAGCCATGCTTCGGCACGAATCGGCCGGCTCGACCGGAGTGATACCACGGCCTCACAGAAAACCGACGTGAAGCAACGCTTGCGTTGTGTTTCGTCGTGTGGGTGAGGTTACCGGAGGCCCAATTATCTTCCCCTTCCCCAATCTCCCCAATTCCTGAATCAACGATCCTCAAACCCCTAATGCCCAAAAGGCCGGTAACGCACTTGTAACGCCTCTGGTATTCCAGGTGTCGCATGGGCGGCGCCGATTGCTTACTATCAGGTGATCCGTTAGCTAGTTTACCGGCTTATGCCATAAAAAATGGCGTATTCATATTCATAATGGAGCTGTCTTCAACTGGCCTGCCAGACCTGGTGGCTTTTAGTCCATCAGTGGACTATCATGAGCAAAAAATGTAATGTATGTGTATTCAGTAACTCACCCAAATACTGCAAGTGCACCCTGATCTGGTGCATTCTCCCGGTCTTCGGTTTGCAGAGTACAACGCTGGTGTTGCTGGCCGCGTTGTAACCTAGCCTCTTGAACACCGTCGAGCAGTCCTTGCCCTTAGCTGATACCTTGCATACTCCGATCTTGTAGCTTACGACTTCTATTGGCTCTTGGCATTCGATTTCTTCGCTGTAAGGGGAAGGTGGGTTAGACTATGTATGTAAATAAGTTTTCTTATATTGTTTGCAAGAGTAGGGATGATGACGAATTAAAAATCTAATTAGTCCGTCAGTTAGATAATGAAAAAATATTAGACATGTGTTTTTTATTTTATCGTTTTTTTTAAGTGGGGAAAATCATCGATTTACTTTTCCCGCCTGGGTGAGGTGGGAGGGAGTGTCAGACTCTTACTGACTAAAAACCACCCCGTGCCTTCTCCTGCACGTCGAGCTGGAGCACCGGCAACCCGTCAGGTTCTCCGCGGCAGGTTACAATACTTGGGTAAAACGAATCAAAGTTTAGGAGTGCAGGCTAAAACGTCACTTTTACGTATAAATCGTCCCTAGAAGTGACGTCACGCGATATATTAAATCAATATAATTATCGAAAGTATTTGTTTCTGTAAGAAAATAAAAAATACGTGTCTAATTTTAAAATAATTTACTAGACGGACGTTAAAATAAAATTAGTCATACTGGCATTTAAAGGAATTTTTTTCGAGTCGATTCTCGGATTTGGAAAACTAATTTGTCATTCAGTTCAGTTCGGTTACCTTCCAGTTGTGATTAGAGTTTGAGACAAAACATCGATACCGTTTCGGTGTAGAAGCAGGTTTAAAAATAATACGAATGAATTAAATGGATTTCATTAGGAATCTTAAGGCTCTGTATGAGTTAACTACTAAAACTCAAAACTCAACTTAAAATGAACTGAAAATCCATATTATCCTGTCTATCGAATTCACAACACAGATTAACAAATAAAAATACTTTTTCAATTTAAAAAACACAAAACACGTCGTTAAAAGAACAATTTTACACTGCCACGTCTATATCACGTTGATTGTACTGGAAAATTGTAAACGTACTGAAACATAGTCATTTGACTACTCTGATGTTTTACGAATGAATCATTCATAAAATGGCGGAGGAGAATGAGAGAAATATTCTAAACGAGACTTTCATTGAATATGTTCAAAAATTATTGTGTCTTGTCTGTAGTTGGACTTATGAATGAGTTAAATGTTTAAAGTATTCTATTGATATCAATATAATTTTAATAATATAATATCATAGTATTTATTCCTCAAAAGAAAAGACAAAGATGTCTGAACACTAACCTTTAGTGCATCTTTATAGTACGACTAGCGGTTGCCCGCGATTTCGTCCGCGTAGAATATGAATTTTAGGACATAACTTTAAAATAAAAGTAGCATATGTTACTCCTTAGTACAATAGCTACCTATCAGTAAAAGTCCCGTCAAAATCGGTCCAACCATTTCAGAGATGTACATCGACAAGTGAACAATAACTGCATATCACTTAACAAGCAGTTATTGAAAAAATCGAGTTCAATAATCTACATAAACTAACTAACATTCTCCCACCTTAACATTCCAGATCGCATCTTTATTAAAACACTTCTAAACTTACCAAGTGTACTTAAATCGATAAATATTTTGATTGGCTTGTCAACTGTGATATTCCAAAAGCTCAAATTTAAACTCTACCCAACCGAGTTAAGGTTTCAATTTGTTTGCGTGTACACATGTGAATGGCCAAGTCATTGTGATTATCGTAGTTAGAAGATCGATACTAAGTGTTAAGCCTTCAGTAAATTATCTAAACTGTTTTATTAAACTGCAATTGTAACTATTTATGTTGAGAAACTTATTGAAATACACTACTGGGAATCAATAAAATCGTAATAAAGCAATCAATGTTTCCTATATTCTAATCTAAGCATGTACAATTTATCAACTGTCGTCGTGGTGGCCCGAAGGTTTAAGACCCCCGCTTCTCATGTACGGCAAAGTACCAATGTGACTTTTCCCTTGTTATATGTACTTTCTAAGGTTATTTAGACACCACTGACAAACGGTGAAGGAAAACATCGTCACCTGGGCTTATAATTTCTAATTATAAGTTTGAAATCGCCAACCCGCATTGAGTAAGCGTGGTGATTAATGCTCAAACCTTCTCTGTGTGAGAAAAGGTCTTTGGTCAGCAGTAGCCACTTATATGTATATTGATTATGATGTAACTTCATCAACATTCGTTTAATATTTTTAGCGTTTATGTATACCTAATACACAGAATCGTCTAGAATTTCATGACAATTTAAACGTACTCGACCTTTACAAGAATACCTTTATCTTTACAGATAAATAAAATTAGAGTACCTATTTGTCATTTAAAAAAAACTGCTTATTGTTACATGCATATAAGTTACATATACCATGCATACGATACACACACATACCAAAATATTTTTTCTTTTAATTTGTGTCTGTCTGTCTGTCTGTTTGTACTGGCTAATCTCTGGAATGGCTGGACCGATATTGCAAGACTTAGCTAAGGTAGTTGATGTACTAAGGACTAACATGGGCTACTCTTATTTTGGAAAAACCAAAAAAAGTTATGTTCTAAAATTCATATTCTACGCGGACGAAGTCACGGGCAATAGCTAGTTATTAATAAAAGCTTATAAAAGAGTTACTTACTCAGGGAACTCCCCATCGACTCTGCAGACGTATTCCTTCTGCACTTGTCTGTTCCTGATCTGATGTTCCATCTGTCTCGCCTTCTTTGGACTCCTTCCGAATAGCAGGAGACCTGGTCATCACATCACACCATTAAAGTATTAGAAAAAACGGTTTAGAATATTGAGGATATCTCTCACATTTTTCCTTATTGTAGGAAATTGTGCTGAACTTTATTATCATTGACAAACTAAATACGATACGGTAACATAACATCACAACTTTTATCCCCGAAGGGACAGGCAGAGGTGTACATTACGGCACTTAATGCCACTGTACAATGTAACACCCACTTTTCACTATTTATGTTATGGGTCCCATGTAATAGGGGGTGAGTCTATTGTCATATACCGGGCACAATTCCAGACTTCGTGCTAATTCTGAGATTTTTTGACAAAGCCCAGTAATAGTTTGCCCGACCCGGGAATCGAACCCGAGAACCCTTGCCCGGCAGTCGCAATTGCGACCACTTGGCAAACGGGGCAGATACAGTAACGTATGAAATTATTATAAAAAAATCTTTGCCTTTACTTTTCTCATATTCATCCTAAAGAAAATCTCACTGAGTTAAGCGAATTTCGTTTTGAGAAACAATATTCGTACATTAATTCAAAACTTCAAAAGCGCGACTAGTTAAATGACCTCGCTTTGACGAGTCTAAAAACCACATCTTACACAGCATTTCTTTTTTTTTTAAATAAAGTCAAATATCCCCCAGCCAGTTAACCATTTATCAAATGGAACCTCGTATTACGTTTGAAAAGAAGCATAAACCAGAATTACATTTACAGCAATGAAAATCTGTGGTCCTAGTGAAAAATGGTATAAGTCCAATTTTGTCGAAAATTAGTTAATTATATCAATATGATTCATAGGTCCACAGGAAGTAATAATTAGTAAGCATTAAAGTGATTTGAATTTGAATTTGAATTTGAATTTGGAAGAAATTTCAATAGGACTACGTACTTTTATACTTAAATTTTATATTGTGTTGTCCTCTGTGTTGTATACTATATGTGTATTTATACAAAACAATAATGAAATAAATAATTTGATGATCAAAAAAAATGCTTCATCATTCAAGCTGTTCACGTTATGTGATCACGCCTTTTATCCCCAAAAGGGTAGGCAGAAATGCACATTATGCGACTTTACAATGTAACACCCACTTTTCACTATTTATGTTATGAGTCCCATGTCTGGGTGAGCCTATTGCCATATACCGGGCACAATTACAGGCTCTGTGCTACTAATGAGAATTTTTAAAAAACCCAGTAGTACTTTGCCCGATCCGGGAATCGAACCCGAGACCCCTTGCCCGGCAGTCGTACTTGCAACCACTCGGACGACGAGCCGACGAGGCTCCCCAATCCCAGAATCCTCAACAATCCTCAAATTCCTAATCCCCAAAAGGCCGGTAATGCATTTGTAATACTGGTGTTTCGGGTATCCATGGGCGATTGCTTACCGTCAAGTGATCCGTCTGCTCATTTACCGGTTTATTCCAAAAAAGTTGCATTTTTGACTTAGCTCCTTTTTCACTAGAACCGCAGTTTCAGTGAGGGTAATTTTCTAAGAGGTTTCTCGTGAAAAGATTTTGCCATTTAGGGCTTACCTGACGTCAACCTGTCGAGTCTGTGGATGGTCCTCAAGTTTTTCAAGTTGTACTCTTTTGCGAGAATAAAAACGACTGTGTTGTGCCTGTATCGTCCACACGGGTGCACCTAGCGAAACATTTCTTATTAAAATGGATTTTTATTTTAAAACGATGGTGAATATTTCTGTAAATAAAATTTGAAATTCAATCTTAACCATGCTTTTATATTGAGAGAAATATTTTGTCAAAAAATGTTATAATTGATCTTAAAGTAATAATTGAAAATTCGTATAAAAAATCATTTTGATCTGAATACTAAAACACCAGTTTTTGTCTCCATAAACTTCTAATTGAAGCGACGATTGTAAGTGGAGCAGTGTTTTAATATTCAGACGTTAGCTTATTGATTCAAAATCCCAAAATACTTATAGACATCATAATCAAGATACCTGATGAAAAATATAAACGAATAAAGCAACGGTGATGAAGCAAGTCAATGAGAGGCCAGTGATCGTTCCCATGACAAAAATCAAGCGAAAATATCACATAAACTACATTACTTAAAGTTGTAAATACATCAGCAACATTAAACACCCTCGCTAGATGTTTGCCAAAGGAAATTAGACCTTAGTAATAATGATATGCACACAAAATGCACAGAGACCATACGTAAAATATAAACGTAAATAAGAGTACAAATAACACAGCAAAATCAATATATTGATTTACATGCACAGTAAAGAGTGATAGAAAGACGAAGAATAGAGATATAGAGTAAAGTAAAGCGAGTACCGAGCCATGAAGACAAAGAATTCTAACATTTCGAGAGATTGAATTGCATCGATTTTACTCGTAACCTCATTGACACGAGTAGCGGTAATGGTAGCGGATAGAAACACTACGTACGCACAATCAGCCAATTGATCTTTAAATACAAAATTTAGTACACAAGAGGTCCTTTATCCTGATAATAAAATAACAACATTGAAGAAAACACATGCTTTCAATGAAATTTCTGTTGTAACAGAAGTTTACATACTTATTTAAGGTTAATATTGTAAACGAAACTCCTCATGCATAAAATCGTTCACCGTTTTACGAATATCTCATATACGTCTTCCACGTAGCAAATTCGAGTTTGTATTTTATTTATAGGCGGTATAAAACCGCTACCATCCACCGAATTTGTTACTGCAAACATGATTTAGGTAAAAACTTACTAGTATTGATAGAATAGGACGTTAGACACTCTCAATATATAAGTTCCTGCAACTCAATTTACCAAAATGTAAGAGAATATATTGGTAAACTTGTTTCTGGACAAAAATAATTGAATCAGGTTAAACACTTTGGATAACACGGTACGCGCTTCAAAGAAATGAAATAAAATAGTAGAAAGTATACGGGGCTCGCAATACTCAAGTTCGGGACCACTTTCAAGTGGTATTTTCGACAAGACCGCACATTTTCAACTCTGTTTGTGGTATTATGTTTCAAACTTTTGTGCAGATCACAATCTAGTCAGACTCTGACAGCGTACTTTGTTTGGACCGAGAAAAAAAAATTAACCCACCGAATTTCTCCGTGCTATCTTTGAACAGATTTATTTTCTTTCTCATTGTACTTTCAACGGTCTTTCTTTTACGTCCTTTTTGTTACAAAAAAGGGATCCTTCTATTGTGGGAAAATCATAACGTTACAAAAAGGTATTACAAACTTCAGGGATTATTTAATTGCCAAAGATTTTCTGTCGTCTCACAAAGGTTTCTTGGCTGTGTAGGGATTTTGGGAAGCAATCATGTTTCTACTTTTTATGATACTGGGGTGGTTGGAAATGATGAAGCTGGGTTTGTTTTTAAGTATGATTCAAGGTCCAAATACCAGTCAGAGCCTGACGATGATTATAAAACGGTCCCAACGCATGACTCACCGGTAGCGAGCAAGGCTTGTCTAGCACGAGTAGCTCTTCATCCACGTGTATGATGCGCAAAGGACTAGCGAGCACTGGAGTCTCGTGCCTGGCCCACCACGGACACAACATTGTTTCATTACGGACTTTATATAGTCTTATGATGTTGCAATTGCCTTTGAGAACAACCATATCAACCGTCCGTTGCTTCTATTTCAAAATAATCTTTCATTTTGGTAAAATAATAATCAGAAATCTGGATTGTGATTATAACAAACGAAATTCAAACATAAGGTTATATAAATTCTTAGCTGTTACTAACTCAATATCCCCTTTGCGGAGTCTGCTTGGGAATTTAATAATGCAGAAAAATCTGTTCCATAAATATTTTGATCGAGAGAGCTAGACTTCAAACTGAGCTTTATTGATGTATGAGTTATTTACAAGGTGTGGTTACGTACAACGTAGAACAATAACAAAAGGTTCTGTCTTTATATAACTAAGACAAAATCTGTGGAAGATTTATGAGTACTTTTAGCACCAAAATCTAAAGTAGAAGTAAGATTTTCTATTAGAAAAGGTAATAGGGATATTAAGGGTACAAAACAGCTAAACAAAGGTGATCTTAATGGCTTATTCTATTATGCACAGAGTGGAAACATTAAAATTAATGAGATACTCAAAGTGCATTACAACATCATAGACAATGTAAATACTTAATACATTGGAGATACAGCAGAAATAGGGTCCTACTTTCAAATGCATGACATTTCGAGTAATTAATAAAATATTAGTGCGTCATGTTAACGCATTAATATTTTCAAAGATACGGACAAAAAGAATGTGGAATTTCTTTGTTTGCGTGCAAGAATTTAGAGGTAGAACAGTATGGGTGGATGTGATTTTAAAAAAAATCATATTACATTTGAAGTGAGTGTCAAAGGAGGACCGTATAGGAACAATTAACTATTTCGCTGTGTGAAAAGTTATTTACGAACTAAGGATTCTAATCCCGCTTGACTTGATGGCAGGATTCTGATATCTAACACATAAAATGGATTTCACAGTGTACCGAGTTGCTCATTACTTTCTTGTGTAATGGGTAAATTTATAAGACTTTAATGAACGTAGCCTTGAGTATATAATACAATTTGTTTACTAAGTGAGTGGTATACGATTACGTTTTATTTCGTGTATTTGTATTTGTGATTTCAGAAGTTTAATTGTTTATGTTAGAGAGAGTATTATGTTAGTTAGTTTAAATTAAGAATTAAATTGAAAGAGAAGCGTTAAAGAAGAATTCAGTGCATTAGTAGTAGCAGCTAAAGATTTAGAAGTTGATTAAAAAAACATTTTTGAAATACATAACATATAACATAACATCACGCCTATTATCCCCGAAAGGGTAGGCAGGTGCACATTGTGCCACTGTACAATGTACCACCCACTTTTCACTATTTATGTTATGAGTCCCAAGTAATAGGGGGTGAGCCTATTGCCATATACCGGGCACAATTCTAGACTCCGTGCTACTACTGAGATTTTTTTTAAAACCCAATAATACTTTGCCCGACCCGGGAATCGAACCCGAGACCCCTTGCCCGGCAGTCGCACTTGCGACCACTCGGTCAACGAGGAAGCAGGCAATTTTTGAAATACCTACATAACAAAAGATATAAAATCGAAATCTTAATTCCAAAAATACAAATGATTACGGAAGATGTAAAAATACAAGTAATAAATACAATTGATTTACTAAAAACCCTAGTTGCGGATAATTTGGTATACATTTGATTATCAGGGGAGAATGTAGGTCACATTGAAAATATTTTACTTTGCACCGCTTTTGGGGGCCTCACATTGAGCCCTTATATCAATCACTGAGATGGGGTTCTCAGAATCATTTGGACCCTTTTACATTCAAACTGACGAAATATTTCTTTTCTACGGAATCCGCCTAACAATTACGTCGGCATAATCTTTATTGATTTCTCCTTTTGACCGATTCTATTGGGTCGAATTTATTACCATCGGGTATTTCGGTAGATTTTTGAGTGGTTTCCTTGAAATTTCTGGTCCCTAATTTAAAGATAAATTTCTTTATTAAATACGTAGTAAATATCATAAAAAATGTAACCTTAAGATATTTGACCTTGAAATACTGAGTGACTAATAATTTTTCTTTCTTGCATTTGAAATTTATATTGTCAACATCATCATCATTAACAGCCTATAAATGCCCACTGCTGAGCAAAGCCTCTTCTCACACGGAGAAGGTTTAAGCATTAATCACCGCGCTTGCTCATTGCGGGTTGACGATTTCAAACTAATCATTAGAAATTATAAGTCCAGGTTTCCTCACGATGTTTTCCTTCACCGTTTGTCAGTGGTGTCTAAATAATCTTAGAAAGTACATTTAACTCGGAAAAAGTCACATTGATACTTGCCGTTGGTAGGTTTCGAACCCGCACCCTCATGCATGAGAAGCGGGCGTCTTAACCTCCGGGCCACCACAACATTATTAAACTGTCAAACACCAAGCGGTCACCGGTGACCGCGACCTATTGTTCTTTAATTGTGTCTTTAAAACCGGTACTCGACGAGTTAATATTGTGTATTTTCTTATTTTAGGAATATCATCAATCAAGCCAATTTGTATACAATAGAATACTAGAGTACAAGTTTATTCCGAAACTAACTTCAAATTCATACAATATGGAGCTTTTCATCCCTTGAAAGCAGCCACCTGAACCGAAGTACAAATAATTATAGAAACACCGTTGTAATGCCTATTGTCAGTACTGTAATAATAGGGGGTGAGCCTAATACCATACAACGGGCACAATACGAATCACAGTTTAGAAATCCAAACAAATAAAAGGCAACGATGCAATATCCTTTCCTGAAATTTCCACTTCACTGAAACGAGACGTGAGGGAAGAACAAAACGTGTTTGTAAGTCTAGGTACGATCTAGGTATCCTAGATGGAATCTAGACTTTGTGTTATTACTATATGTTATGTATTCGAAACAAAGAAAGAAAAATAGCATAACATAATATCACGCCTTCCATCCCCGAAGGGGTAGACGTGCACATTATGCCACTGTACAATGTAACACCCACCTTTCACTATTTATGTTATGAGTCCCATGTAATAGGGGGTGAGCCTATTGCCAAATACCGGGCACAATTCCAGACTCCGTGCTACTACTGAGATTTTTTGACAAAGCCCAATAATACTTTGCCCGACCCGGGAATCGAAGCCGAGACCCCTTACCGCACTTGCGACCACTCGGCCAACGAGGAAGACTGTTACTCAAATGATAACCTATCACTTTAAAGAACATTGAATTACAACGGAATTACAGAAAATTTCCTTCTTATATAATATCACATCTCAGCCTTACCCATGAAGACCGTGATACATAGTAACAAGAGCCTTTAATGACAACCAACGTATATACACATAAACACACTAGGAAGAGTAATTGGTATACATTGTTGTTTCATTCTGGGATCCGTGTTAGGACCTTCGTTTTGGTTCAAAGGGATTTCCCTTATTCGGGTGTGAAATGCTTACTTTGAGTTTAAGGATCGTATTAAGCTGATTATTTCATTCATCACATCTAACAATGGGGTTCTGATTACTTAACGAGGTTTTGTGTGAGTATGTGTGTTATTTAGACTTGGTAGGTTATGTCGTGGTGGCCCGGAGGTTTAAGACGCCCGTTTCTCATGAATGAGGGTGTCGGTTCGAAACCTACCAACGGCAAGTACCAATGTGGTTTTTTTCCGAGTTATATGTACTTTCTAAAGATTATTTAGACACCACTGACAAACGGTAAAGGTGAGGTATCGTGAGGAAACCTGGACTTATAATTTCTACCTCTAAATATAAGTTTGAAATCGCCAACCCGCATTGAGCAAGCGTGGCTCAAACCTTCTCCGCGTGAGAAGAGGCTTTTCTCAGCAGTGGGCATTTAATGGCTGTTGATGAGCTTATATTTTGCCGTTCATGTATAGGAGGACTATTGTTAGGCTATTGTTACCCGATGTGTTATAAACAAACTATTAATACTTTGTCAGATTTCAGGATCGCCCCCAAAACTTCTGAATAAACAATTTAATTTATCGTACCTAGGCAAGAAAGCAAAGATTATTGTCACAGAATATTTTTCATATTACAACTTCCGTGAGACACACAAAATTAATTATTATGTGTTCGGCTTACTCACGTAACTTTTTGACGAGGAACTCGACTAGTTTCAAGCTATGCTAGAGGCTCATGTTGACGTGACGGCGTCAAGTGTCGTGAACCGCTGCTCAGTCTAGTCGAGTTATAATAATGAACAGAGAATATAATTAGAAAATAATACTCTTAGTCTTACGAAGGAGTTATTTTTAGCGTATTTAGAGAAGAAAATCTGGAAATCGACTAACTCAATAAAATACGGCTGTAATCATTAAGACGCTATTAAATAAAAAATCCTGTTCATTATCTATAGTAATAAAAATCGAAAAAAAAACAGTAAAGTGTATAGCAAACCATACATTTTATGACGTACCTTTAGAGAACTTTGATAGGATACGAAATAAAGCCGCGTTTTACTTTCACTTCTTTTAATGCTTATAAAGAGGTTGAATGTCCAACAAAAAACAGTTTTATTGAAGGCAGAGATTGAAAACATGCGTCCCTACCCAACGTAACAAAGAAACAAATCGTAAAAATACAATTTGCACATTAAATAGAGCTTAGTATGGGTTCCTTTGGCCATTAACTATTTTACGACAGTCTGCCGACCAAGGTAATTGAAAACCGCAATGATAAAGGCATTATCCAATCGCAGTCTCATCCATCCCAAGATCATAAGCTTCTTTAAATACATCAATAATACCATTGACGCTTCCCTTCAATAAAACTTCTACAGAACTTATTTCAAATCTAAGTATTTTATAAGCTCCTAACACTGAATTCAAATACTCATAATATTTGCATTTCTAAGATCTACCTCGGGGTATTGAAGGAACATATTCCTCCATTGAAAGCAAAGCAAGGAATATTAATTCAACGCCTACGTCTAAAAATATACACCCTGTATAAAGGCCGACGTTGAAGTTGAGTAAGTGCTGAAAAAAATCAACTTCTTCCCCTGTTTTGCATGTAAATTCCTCCACCTCCCACACTCCCGTTTTATTCCGTAAAAGCCGATATGAAAGTGCTCCATAATATTAGGTGTCTTCTATCATGTAACGTTAGAGTATTTCTTGCCAAAGGGACCGCTTTACGTTAACGCAAAGGACTTTGTGAGAAACTAGCTTTTAGGGGCAGGAAAGCGGATTTCAGAGAAATGGAAGCCTAGCACGGTGGTCCCACTAAAACCGTGCGACCAACTAAATTAAATTCCCGCCGGTTAGACATTAAATGCGATGTTCTTTATCGTCTGTCTAGTCGGTGAAGTATTACACCGAAATTCAATTTGCGAGTTATGATCTCTTCATAACTTTGTTATCTTTACTTAGAACATTGGAAGCGAAGAAGAAATTAGATACTAAAGACTAAAATGAAGCTTTAATTAGTGCATTACTAAGTCTATATTAGCACGGCATGCGACACAGAGAGGGTGATATACAAGTAGTTGAAGTATGACAAGCGTACACATAACATGGCTGTCTCATTTGCCACTTACGGGGATAGAGGCCGGTTTGTTGACAACCACAATGTCCTCGTCGATATGAACGAGGGTGATCGGTTGGCTGGTGACCGGTACTTCGTGCCTGCAACGATACACACGTCAGGCTTACGGCTTCTGGGCGACGGACTCGGAGCAAAACCACATACAAATGTTGAGGAACGAAAAATCTCCTTTACGTCAGTTTTGTGATATTGATTAGGAGTGTTTAAACAATTAGTCTTCTGGTTATGGATTTCATTTTGACTATCTAGTTTGATGCTGGAGTGTCCATTAGTGCTACTCAAGTCGAGTTTTGCTCAGAGTTCGTTTCATTATCAGTTCTCGTGACGTATGAAATAAAGATTAGACGAGACCGTAACAGCAAATGAACATGCGTGAGCGATTGTAAGATGTATCTTGTGATGCATGCCGTTTGGACACAAGACACTGTGTTGGACTATCAGAAGTAAACAATCAAGATATCAAGTGTTTAAGAACTATGTGTCTTCTTGGATAACGGCCAATATGCACTCGCATGCTCATTCGGTGCTTTAGATTATTATTGAATATTATATTTGTGTTACAGTGGACTAAATACAAATTAGACCTGAAATACGAACAAGCGACGCACGTCACATTATTATAAAAATATTTATAGTTAGAGTAATTGTGATAGTATGTAAGGATACTTTAGTAAATAAATACATATAAGGCGAGAAAAATAAAGTTATTATTTACAATACTGAAATCAAAGTATCATTTGAGTTTGACGAGTATTGTGTAGAACAAAATAATGTTGATGTGTTTGGTTTCGGGTTCGTGTATATTTATTTCTAAGGTGCTGTAGCTATCTGAAGCGAACTACTAGATACCGTTGTTTTTGTGGATGAGAACGTATTTGTTACCTATGAACAACGTTTGCTAGAAGGTCATTGTGCTTCAATCTGTAATCAGGGTCCACTCTCTCGTAGTTGACGGTGAGGGTCCCCGCTCGGATGCACCGCTCGTATTCAGCTGCCGGGTGGGCCCTGAATTCCCTCGCAAACACGTCGAGAATTTTCTCACCGACCCACCTTCCTTTGGTGAATGTTGTGAACGTAAAGTAGTACGGGTACACTTTCCTGAGGCCTGTAATTAAAAATACTTTGCATATTGTGGTAGAAAATAACCCAACAAAAAAGGATAGTGGTGAAATACCAACAAAACATAATCAATAAACGTAAACATTCTTGCTTCATTCTAAAATTAATGTAAGCACATTAAGGTTTCACTGTAAAGTTAATATCACACTTAGAATGATTAAAATTCCCTAATTTATCAAATAAAATCTTGAGTAAAAAGGCTGCGAAATATTTCCAGCATTTTTAAAAGCGGCCATATCGCAATTTATAAGTCGTTACCTCGAAATATCTGCATAGCTGTAAACCACAACGGGGGGTTGAATGAAGAAAGCGCCATTGCGGTTAGATGACGAAGGCCATTAGATCATAATGGGCCCTTCTGACATTAGCTATATTGAAAACTAGCGTGCCCGCTGTTTCATCCACTTAATGTCAACGTGTGAGGTTACGTAATGGGTCGACACGTTGCTACTTTTTGTTAAAACTATTGTATTATGTTGGTTAGTATTGCTTTTAAATGAGCTTTGTGATATTATACCAAGTACATGTTTGTTTGTAGAAACGACAGAAAGACACAATAATGTAATAATAGACAAAAACAATTCACCAAATGATGGCAAACATAAAGATATTAAAGAAGCAAAAGTCTCTCAAAATATTACGTCACTCAAAATTAAATCAATTAAATTGGATACGCGTAATACCGTTGGTCATATTATCGAAAATTATCTTTCTATTCTTAAAATTGAAAAGATGAGAATAAGGGTAAGAATCAAATCAATGGAAAAGAAAAAATTAAAGGAACAGATTCGTTATTGAAGATAGGTATTCATGTAATCCAATATCTGTCAAGGTTTGTAAAAACGCCGTACTTAGGAGGAAATATAAAAGATATTTTGAGAGGATGAAGACGTTACTGATGGTTCGCTCAAGATTGCGACGAAATAATATTTATAGAAGCGACAGTTTCTTGTTCAGCTACAAAATGATTTGTTATGGTTTCTCTTTCATTGATTGCTTTCTCAACGTCGTTTATTATTTACGGATTTGTATCTGTTGAGTATTATTGTTGTTTTTTTAGTATTTATTTATCTTTACATCTTATTACCTAAGTCCCACAAAACCGTTGCAATAGTTTGACTGTGTGGGTCAACGAGTCTCTAGACATTACAATTGAATGCAATAATTAAATATCATATAGGTGCTGTAACTTGTAATTATTTGTTTTGTTTTGATACTTATTTGTTAAGTAAATTTTGTTTGACGTTGCTTTATCGTATTCTAATATCATATCAGCAATAATACTAGTATCATCTTCATAATTTTGGACTACAATGTAGTTTTGCTTAGACAAATTGTTTTCTAGGTAAAAATAAAGGCCATGAAAGCTTAGTCAGATAGTTTTGACCTGTCTCTCAAACGGTATTGTCTAAATCGAAATTTAGTCAACAAATGCAAAGTCAGACTTACCATTTTCAATATAATAAGACGTTTCGTTGTACCGGTCATCTGTGAATCCCGGCCTTTTTGCCTTCAAAGCTTTTGTCTCTAACTTCGCCTGGAACAAAAGAAAAAAAATAATAAAAACCATTGTTTTCAGTTTGCTTTTATGAAGTTGCGAATGTTGAGATAGGCTTTATAGTAAAAAGTAAGGGCTGTATCGTGTGTCGCTAACGATGTGACGTCAGCTAGGTAAAAAGAGGGAGTGGAGAATATAGGTTTTGCTTGTCTAGTGTGAAAAATAACGATGGGTGTGTACGTGTATTTCTTTTGCTTATTGTATGCTATGGGTATTTCTGCTGTAACTTTGCGCTGTAGGTATGCGATTTCTGACTTCTGTTAGATTAAATTGGGTTGTTCAGTAAAATAGGGAATGAGCAATTGAGCATACAGCCGTGTACATGATTATTGATGTTGCGGCAACAACAAAATAATATAGACAAGTTAGACCATAAAACTAACAGATGGCGTTACAAGTCCTATGTCGCCCATGTGAAGTTAGAGCGCGATTTAACACAAATACCAATTAGCTACGTACAACTGTTGGGCACTAGCTCACAAGGCACGATCACCGATCCTGATCGAAGGCTTCTTCAGCTTTAAAATCGAAATATTTACACGATCAGATTACAATATTACCTACTGACAATGAAAATCTCAAAGAGATTTTCCTCAATCATTGTCAAACGAAATGATACTTTTAAAAATCTACCATAAAAAGAATAAAACATTTCTGTAGGTCGGTCAGTTCCAACGAAAAACAATTCTTAATTCTTTGAAATACTGAAATGTATGTTCAAAGTGAATATTTGTTTGTATGAAGGCATGTAGGTTTGTTCTTAACAAGTTTTGGTACCAATACAGGTCCCAAAGGTTGGTCCAAACGTATAAGGGCAAACATTGGACCCAATATAGTTTGGTAAAAAACTTAAATCTACTGGGACGAGTTCGGCTGAGAAAATTAGAAAAGTTTCTTATTAAAAACGGAATGGTTTGGTGTTTTGTGTTTTTTATATCGATTGGATGAAATCACTTGGAATATTGTAGTGGATTTAGTTCAGTAGAAGTTTAAAGAAGGTTTCAAGTTTCTGTAATTTAACTGCACTTCGAGCCGGAGCCCCGGCAAACCGTTAAGTCCTCCGCGGCTCCGTATCGGCATCAGCCATATTGGGCCCCATCTGTGGTGGTCTGACGGCTTTTTGAGGTGCGCGTAGAACGCGACGCGCCGTACGCTCTGGTCTAGTTCTGGTTGTATCCGTGCTAACCGATTGCAGGCCCGTTACGGTGGCCGAAAATCGTCTCGCGATCACCAACGCGCGGAGTGTCCCTCGCGACGACTGGGTCGTGAGGAGGTTTCTTTCCTCACGCGTTCCGCCTCTTCTTTAGCTAGCATGATTGCTTAGCAGAAGGAGCAGATGGCATCCCAGCCCCCCTTGCTCCGGACCATGGTCTGAACCTTAGCCGGACGCGAGAGGTTGACGTGCCCAATACCATTCCTAAGGATCCGGCGTTACTCAGCCCATACAGGGCACACCGCTACCGTTTGCTCCACTCTGTCCTCCAGGTCAACTAACTGCCTAGTCTGTATAATAAATAGCTAATTTTTTACAATCATTGTAGCAGTATATCTGCTATAGTGATTTGTTGTCTTTTGGAGTAGCAGTTCTAAGCTAACCCAAAACTTGCGCGCGCCTCAAAGAGCCATCAGACCACCACGGATGGGGCCCAATAGGGTTGATGCCGATTCGGAGTTGCGGAGAACCTAACTGGTTACCGGGGCTCCGGCTCGAAATGCAGGTGAAGGAACGGGGTGGTTTTTAGTCAGTAAGAGTAACTCAAACTTAAGTTAAGCCCCGATTATGGTATTGATGAGTTCATGCAATTGTAGTGGTAACTTGTCACTTAAAAAAATTGATATAGTTTACTCAAACACGCCACTGGACTCAAGAGAAAACTACAAACAATCAAGAAGTAACAATACTAATACACAAAAGGAAATCAGTCCACAAATTAGCACTAACAAATAAGACCTATTTTCGCTTAATTCTGTCAATAAATTACCGACTAACGACAACAAATCTTTACGTGACAAAGGAGAGGAACTTCGCACTTTGTAAGCGATTCACTTTGTACTATAAACGAATAATATCGATTCAGCATTTAGGTATATTGTTTTAGCATCGAGAGGTGGTTTTGTTAAAATGGTGTGAAGTAACAGGTTAGTAAAGGCGGAGTAGAATATTCAACTTAAAATTGAGTAGCCTTTCAGTATTTGGGCATTTATTTTTAAAGGGGGGAAAGTCATTGAATGACTTCTCCCGCATTGGGGAGGCGGGAGGGAGGGTCAGTAGTATTCGGCCGTAAGACGACCTTCTCTGTCGGTAGATAACTATACATTTTTCGAATGCAATCTGTGTTACCATGAAACATAAATTACAAAATACGAAAATGTAGTTTATGAAACAGCCATATTTTGTCGTTATACCGCATAAATATGAAGACAATAAAATATGTACTTGTACAACAATTATCCCGCGAGTGCTGTGATTAAAACTACAACAGCTGAGGCTTAGCACTGATTGGTCGATCAACGTCTGACGTCACATCGCCTGGATTACCGCCATATTGCTTTTTAATTCGAACATGGAACGTTATTTGCGGGACTGTTTTATTTTTTGTTTGTATAAGTTATTGGTAGTCTATATTTTTTTTTTTCTGAAATGTTTACAATTATTGTTTTTTTGGACCGTTCGGTTTGTATAATAGACATACTTATATAACATGTATTGTTTGTAGTTGTTAGTTAATTAGTTATTTTATAATTAATAGTTCAATTCTGTCTGTAATCTTTTCAGTAACTCACAGAATCTGTATATCGAACACCATTTTGCTTGATACCCTCAAGCCCAACATGACAATAACACAAACTTGAAACATTTCTGAAGCACACAATTAATTTATTATTTTTTTGTCACTAACACAGTAGACATTTGATGTCTTAAATACATGATTTTTTATATCAATTATCAAAATTATTAATTGTAAATCCAACATCAAAAAACACCCTATCGTCAATAGTTTTAATTGACTACAAAACTAATAACTAAATTCAAAGTAATTATTTAGCAACTGTAAATAAATTCATGTGGCACACGTTCAACGATAAACTGAAACTTTCAATATAAACTGAATACTGAAGTGGGCATTACCATATCAAGTGCTCGAGTGGTAAATAAATCAAATGTTAGTGTTAAACTTATGTCTGTTTCCAGTTACATTTTAACTGGAATACATTTAGCATAGGTACACTATTTTACTTGTAGAAGTATGTTCATATCGTTTATAGAAACTAGGTTTCAGAGGGCCGTCTTAACTGAATTAAATTGTTACATAACATAACATCACGCCTTTTATGTGGCAAAGGTGCACAGGTGTTTTGTCTGCTCTTTTGCCGCCCTGTATCATTAATGACACTTATCTTGTTTCTATCACATTCGTACATCTAATATTACTATTTATAGCTGTTCACGAGCTGTCTATGCAAAAACTTCACCCCACCACGAAAATAAAGGGAGTATAAAATAAAGACATTACATTGGCGAGCACATAAAGCCAGCATAACTACACATCGGGACAAAATAAGTTCGATCACGCGATCAGATGGTGGTACGACGGTATTACTTGGAGTGGCTATAAAATACAAACACGCAAAGTGTGGTCTTGGGTAATATACTGAGAAAGTCAAAAAGGTGTTTTGGTGTCGAAGTCAAAGTCAAAATCATTTATTTCAATTAGACTAGAAAGGTACTTTACTTTTGAACGTCAACAAAAATTTTAAAGTGAAGCTATTTGCTCATTTTAAGGTTTAGATTCCTATGGAGAAGAACGAGCAAGAAACTCCATAGGTTACTCTTTTTCAATCAGGTTCACAATACAATTCTCTAGTTACATAGTACATAGTTTTGTTGTTTGGATTGTGTGAGAACAATGTAATACTAAAATCGAGCCAAAAGGATCGAAAAAAAATAACCCTAAAGGACAATAAATAATTTAAATACTTTCGACGATATATTAATCTAAAATATTGTGGGACGTCACAATGAGCTACATTTTGTAGCACTTTGTGACGTAGCGACCTCCCATTGCTAAACTTAACTCCATTTTATCTAAGTATTGTAACTTTATACGAGAAAATAAAAGAATACGTGTCTAATATTTTTTCATTATCTAATTATCTAATTGACTAATTAGATTTTAATTTGCATTCCCTGGCAACTACCATATTATTAGAAATAAGATGGGGTCTAGGTTAATGCCTTTCGGTGTTAGATATGTGGAATGTATGAAAAGTGGACGCCATCTATACTAATATTATAAAGAGGAAAGATTTGTATTTTTGTATTTTTGTATTTTTGTATGTTTGTAATGAATAAACTCAAAAACTACTGAACCGATTGCAATAATTTTTTCACCATTCGAAAGCTGCATTATTCAGAAGTAACATAGGCTATATAATATCACGCTAGGTCCTATAGTTGTGGAGCAGTAACCAAAAATGTTTTAAAAACGGGGGAAAAGTATCGTTTCTGAGGCCTTCCGTGGCGTGCGCTGAGCATATAGTTAAAGTTATACAAAAATGTTCTATAGATGAATTGTTTACCTTAACATTATTTTTAAAAAAGTCCGCGAGAGCATATGTCTACCTTTTACAGTTTACCCATAACAATCGTTTTAATGAATGGTTCAATCCTTATAAAAGTTTGCTCTAGATAACTTTTGAATTGTTCAATCGGTTACCTTAAGACGCGACATCGACAACGGAGGGCAGGTCGCTAAAAAAAACTGAGAATAGATATAAATAAAACGTAAAACTATGTAAAAAATCTTAAGTCCCCCCGTGCGAAGCCGGGACGGGCCGCTAGTTACTGATATAGTTAACAATTAATGTTCGGGGCATTGTAAAAGTAATGTTAAATAATAAATATGTCACCACATTACCGTGTGAACTTATATTTGTTAAATGTGTATAAATAATGCACACTGTGTAAAAATAATGCAAATGTGTATAAATAATGTGACCACTTAAGTGGATTTCGCTGTTTTTGGGTTAATCGCTGCTAGTTTATTTGGATTCATTTTAATTTTGGTAAAATAACGATAAAACGAATAAGCATAATAATAAACTTTATGACACTTATCCAAAGTTTAATTTCAGTTAAACATTTATGTGACTGGTTTTCATTTTGCTGATGAATTGAATTTTTCATGAAGTTCAAACTATAAACTATTGTGATATCAGTTTTAATCTGTTTCAAATCTGCGTATTCCACATAAAATGTTTGATGAATCAGTGAATATAGTAGGTTAGTAGTTTCTCTATTACTATAAACCAACATGCAGTTATGTCTTACTCGTTATTGAACGGTTATTTTGTCCAATAACAATACCTATTACCTACCCCCATAAAAAAAGAAACCTACTACTATTAATGTGAGGGACATTCGTTGCAAAAACAGGTAACGTTAGTTACCTGAGGGCACGCCAGCAATTTCTATCATAGACACCGTCAAGTCGTTGTGGTTAAAGTCGGTAAGAATGAGGATATTCATCCAACAAAACATCTCAAAATTAAAAAACTACAAACAACAACACAGCAACATAAAAACAAAAAAATGTCTCAACTTCATACTGTCAGTAGACACTCAAGTGGGAAGGTCATTTTATTTTCATTATCTCTGCGGTACTATGTGGGGGCGAGTTTACGACAAAGAAGTGCACTTCGACCTAATTTAAATACATTACTCGTTTTGTAAGAGACAACTAGCTTCGTTGTCGTACTAGACGATAATTGTACTTGTAACAGACGGAAATTTCCACTTAATTCAGTTGTTTGAGGCTGTATCAAGATTAAAGGGCGAGTTCCAATTTGAAGTGAGTTAAGTTAGTTTTTGTTTTTTGTAGCTATTTGTTTTGTTGGAATATTGTTTTTAGGAATATCAGATTGGTTGGTATTGCTTGAATAATTTAATTTATGTAAAATGTTTCGTTCGTACACACAGCGCCATCTATACCAATAATTTCGTTTTCCCTCGAGAATATTAAATTTTTCCGGGATAAAAAGTACCCTATTATTTAATCCAGACTTCTAACTTCACGTCTGCAAAAATTCAAAGCAATCGGTTTAGTAGTTACGGCGCGAAAGTGGAACAAACAAACAAACAAACTCACTTTCCGATTTATAATATTAGTAAGGATTGAACAGACTAAGTTGATTTAACTAAAAATCGCGGGTAACTCACGTGATTATACTGAGAAAAGCTCTACTAGTAGGCTGCGCGACATCGCCATGACCGTGCACGCTGCTCATGAGGAGGAGCCCCTGTGTGGCTTGAAACTTGTAGTGCTTTTCCCAGTATCTTCAAAAATGTGTGGGATTAAAATTTTCAAAAACATTTAATAATATAAGTGTGGGAGAGCCATGCTTCGGCACAAATGGGCCGGCTCGACCAGAGTGATACCACGGCCTCACAGAAAACTGACGTGAAGCAACGCTTGCGTTGTGTTTCGTCGTGTGAGTGAAGTTACCGGAGGCCCAATTACCCTCCCCTTCCCCAATCTCCCCAATTCCTGAATCCCCAACGATTCAAACTCCTAATCCCCAAAAGGCCGGTAACGCACTTGTAACGCCTCTGGTGTTCCAGGTGTCCATGGGCGACGCCGATTGCTTACCATCAGGTGATCCGTCTGCTCGTTTACCGGCTTGTGTCATAAAAAAATGATTGCATTATTTTCACAATTTAAATGAGGTTACAAGAGGTCCAATCCTCCTTTAAAGTCTCTTCATTATGTACATTAAAATCATTACTCACGTCAAAGAAATATCCCAAACATATTACATTTTCATAAAATACAATGTTTCTTTGCAGACAAAAGGAGTTGTTCACAATTCATATAGAACATAATACAAAATATCCTTACTAATATTATAAATCTGAAAGTGAGTTAGTTTGTTTGTTTCACCTTCACGCCGTAACTACTCAACCGATTGCTTTGAATTTTTGCAGACGTAAAGTTAGAAGTCCGGATTAAATAATAGGGTACTTTTTAAACCGGAAAAATTGATATTCCCGAGGAAAAACTAAATTATTGGTATAGATGGCGCTGTGTGTATTGGTATATGTCACATAGGCTAGTTTTTATTCTTTTGTGACGCGAGCGAAGCCGCGGGTAAAAGCTAGTATATTATAAGTACTCTATTTCAGCAAGAGTACCTACTTTCCTTCATTGCACTTCTTCTAGCATTTGAAATTCTGAGCACTGCATTACTTTTATAGTTTCAGTGTTTCGTTTGAAGTTATTCGTGGTTGGAGAGACTGTCGACCATAAGGTACCATCCTGTATACACTATAATAGATGCATTAAAGTAATTTGATTTGGGTCTCGGTTTCAACGAGTCGAGCTTAAGATCGCGGGTTCTATTCCTTAGTCAATTAGTGTTACTGAGCTTTTCTATTTGGCATGTCTTGTTTGATAATTTAAGATGATTTTTGCACTTTCCGTAACAAACGTAGTTCGATATTTGTCAAGAGAGTTGTTTCTGGAATAAGATTAAACGCACGAGCTAAACTGGTGTTTAAGTACATGTCTGTATGTGTAGTTGTCTAAAAAAATAATGTAACTTACCTTTTTCAAGTCTTTATTAATGTCGGTATCGTCTGCTTTCCTCTTCTCACAGGATAGTATGCAGTTCTTCCCGCTGTCTTTTTCTCCCTGGAAAAGAAGGAAAAAGATCTTTTAGTACACGTATTCCATCCTACACAGTCATTTTCTGACTATTAGATCATATGAAATTCCCGAGAATCGCATATGCATATATTTCATAAACTCAGATAAATACAGATAGGTACTATGTATACAGTATGTAACAAAACAAAAACAAAAAATAACAAAAGTTCGAAAAACAAATAAAAAATAAACATATCCCGGCCACAACAACATTCAACACCTCTATCAACAACCAATTAACCCGATTTAATTCAAATAAAGACCATCGACGTTCGAATTTCGAAACCAATCGGAATCACCAATCAAAACGGTCGGCGAAAACAATTGGTCGGTACTAACCTAGGGTTGATAGGCGACAAATGAACGAAAAATAGACGACTAAGCGAAAATGTTTTTCATCGCAATTTTGTTCCGTAAATTGTTTTGTTTTTACTACAAATTGCAATTGTTTGAACGTATTTTTGTTTTGTTTTTTTTTTCTGTGTTGTTGCGGTCTTGGTTAGAAATTGGATTGGTGTATGTTTATTTTTGGGTGTATGCAGAAATATGCGTGCAAAGGACATTTCTTTGATGAAAAAACATGAGTGTTATTTTTGAATAAAATATGAGGTGGTGAGAAGGTATTTTCCTTGTGTTTTTTTAGTTTCTTTTAGTACAAATAAGATTGTAACGAATATTGTAGTGAATGTTCTCACCTATCAACGGTTGACAATGACAGATTAAGTTGTAATTCTATATACCAACGCACTATCACTATCCTAACTAGTTCACACATTAAAAACAAAAAAAATACATAGGTACAAGTATAAAATTGACATCCCTAAGTCGGCCATGTTTAAAAAGCTCGTCACGTCACCGTGTCTCACAATTAGCGTGATACAAATTCTAACAAACTGTGTGTTGATTGCACACGTATTGTCAGAGGTTTTTTTCTTAAATTAAATTTCAAAGGCCCTTTTTAACCGACTTCCCAAAAAGGAGGAGGTTACCAATTCGGCGGTATGTTTTTTTTTGATTTTTTTCTGGCACCGACTTCTAACCTATCAGTAAGTGGGTGACCTATAAGTACGTATGACTAATAATAGTTATTTTTGCTTTTTAGTTTTTACCTATTGTTTGTTTTTAGGTTTTGATTTTCTTCGACTTTCACGTAAAAAACCAAACAAAAACCGAAGCCTACAACCTCCCTATCCCAAAAAACAGTGACGCAACCTATTCCTAAACAAAGCAACGCATTTGTTTAAAAAGCACGTCACCATGTTTCACAATTAGCGCGCTACAAATTCTAACAAACTGCGAGTTGATTGCACGCGCGTCGGCGGAGGGTCGAAGTGAACAATGCGTCGTCGTTTTAGGGTTATACGTCAAATGGGTCAAGGGTTTTCAATGGAGTTATGTTGAAAGGTAGGACTATACAATTGATGTGTATGTGACCGGAGTGTGTGTTGTGTATTTTTGTGTAGATAATGTTTATTTGTGTATGCTTTCAAATCTACTTGTGTATCTAGTGGGGTTGAAAATGATACGTTTGAAAGGTTTCGTTTGTGGTTTTATTCTAATACTAGCTTTTGCCAGCGGCTTCGTTCGTGACTTCCGGCAGATTTTTGGTTTTAACCACATAGTTCCCCATATCGCAGGTTTTTTGAGAAGTTCCGCTCCCACGGGATTTTCGGGATAAAAACTATCCTATGTCCTTTATCAAGTTCCAAGCTATGTCTATACTAAATTTCACACAAATCGGTTCAGACAGACAGACAGACGGAGTTACTTTCGCATTTATAATATTAGTTTGGATAACCACAAAGTCTAGAGGTACAATGTTGTTGATGACGACGGGACTTTGGTGAGGGCATATATTGTGATTTTTGTGAATGTTTTGATAGCTATGAGCATTCAAGTAAAATGTTAGAAGAATAGATTTTTAAGCTTTGAAGGGGTTAGATTAGCAAAAAATATGCAACATCCATATATGTATTAGTCCCATCTAATAAGGCTTACTAGTGCGCGGCGGTTTCACTCGCTCTGCTCGGCGCTTATTAATCGTAGCGTGATATTTTATAGCCTATAGCCTTCCTCGATAAATGGGCTATCTAACACAGAAAGAATTTTTCAAATCGAAATAGCAGTTTCGGAGATTAGCGCGTTGAAACAAACAAACAAAAAACAAACTCTTCAGCTTTATAATATTAGTATAGATAATCCGTACTGCTAATAAGCTATGTTTGAAAAACTACACATCATCACTACGCTTGCTAATCGCTAGAAAGAAAGAATTATCTACATGTATGAATAATATACACTACTTTATCCACTTATATGTTTCTTAGCTTCATTATAAAAGAACTTTACTCTAGCTCTTCAACAGAAAATATAATACAAATGTAATATTTTTATGAATTTCTCATATAAAACATTTATATAATAAATCACGAGGCTGCTTGACCCACGTACTGCGCCTTTCTGAGGCTTCAGCCTTGATGGATGACTAGTATACATGTTGGATATTGTTGTATATATATGTTATATATAAATATATATATACAGCATTATTATGACTGTGAAATATGATTCTTTATATCACAATTTCGAGCTTTTGATGTGGATTTGAGTTGGTTGCTGGATGTGAATTTTATATGGAATATAGAATTTTTGTGTTTATTGTAAAGGTTAGGTAAGACAATGGTTTGGAAGCTAAGTTTAAAAATTCTAAATATTTTGTTTTTCACCTATCATAAGTGTTAGTTATACTTCATCCACTGTGCTAGTTTTTTTTATTACTGTGTCATAAAGAGGATTACTTTAATGCTGAATATAGAATATTTTCAGTAAAAACATGACCAAATCATAATTATATATATATACTATTTTAAATTGTGTAATTGTAATTTATACATATAAATGAAATTGGTGTGTCTGTTTGTAATATTAAAATAACCGCTTTTTATTACATGCATATGAATATATACGAGACACATACCAAAATAACATTTTGTCTGTCTGTCTGTTTGTACTGGCTAATCTCTGGAATAGCAGGACTGATTTGACAGGATTTTTATTGGCAGGTAGCTGACGTACTAAGGACTAACATAGGCTACTCTTATTTTGGAAAATTAAATCAAAAAAAGTTATGTTCTAAAATTCATATTCTACGCGGCCGAAGTCGCGGGTACACAACTAGTAGTAATACAAAAAGCGTAATTGTAAAACAATGCACGTTTTAATCAAAGTTCTGTTGTGGTAAAGTATATAGTTTTACCGCACCTATTCAGTTTATTTATAAGTTATATATAAGTTGCGTAAAGGTGGTCAAGAATATAGTACATCATCATTATTTCAACTGAAAACGGCCACAACTGAGCAAACTTAGCTCCTTAGTACCGCTAGTACATAACTAAATAGTTTATGAAACTTATTATACTTAGGTATTCAGTTAATATGATACTTAAAATTCTACTCACTATTTTATACATTTTCTATATATTTTTTCTTAGTGTGTGTTGAAGTTGGGATTCGTTTCAGCTGTTTACGTTTCAAATCCCACTAACATTAAAATATCACATTTTTTAATTTATACAACCTGTTGGCATATTTTCGAAAGCATCTTATCCTACGGCTACGATGAAAAGTAATAAAAAATAATTAAATAACATATAAGTAAAATAATATAAACAAAAAATAACAAATCAAAAGAAAAACTTAAACAAAAAAATACTGTAAAGAAACCGTAGACGCGTGGGGCGCGCTACGATCAATAAGCTACGAGCCGCCCTACGCGCTACGCGCTACGAGCGTAGCCGTGCTACGAACAGCTGATATTTTGGTTTGGAACACGTGTAGTGTAGGTGAATGTAAATAGAAAATGACTGTAAAATTCTAAAATTTATGCATTTTTTTGAGTTTGGGAGGGATTAGTAGATAAATTAGTTTTTAATAAAGTCAAATCTTGCCTTCAATTTCCTCATTTACTGTTTACTTTTGATAATTTTTGAATTTACCATCACATCACATAATACATATTTAAAAATAATTACCACATCAATCATAACAAAACAAGTCAAATATCAGCAACTGCCAATCACTTCTCTAAACACACAATCAAAAGTTTCTCAAAAAAAAATTTTTTAACCGAAAAATGATTTGTCAACCATTCTATTTACATTGTAAATAAATATTCAATAAAAAACAACATCAATTTTGCGAAAACTTTTAATTGAAAGAGTTTGACCTCGGGGTAATGAATTCAGTGATAGATAGCGGTACGCTTCGACAATGTGCTGAAAAAAGTTTGGCAATATAATTGAAGGAAAAACAAATGGTTTCATAATGGCGATTATGAATGACAGCTAGGATAATTGGTGACGATTTGATGACTAATTAGAGGATTTATAGAGATAATAAATTATAGTTAGACTTGCTAACCTGGCAAACTTCGTACCGTCTAAATTTTTTCTCATCTTTTAATCATTCCCCGGATTTCACGAACATTTTAAGACCAACATTAATCAAATCGGTTCAGCCGTTGTCGAGTTTTATTTTGACTGACGAACGGAATTTTTTTTTTTATAGTATAAGCCGGTAAACGAGCAGACGGATCACCTGATGGTAAGCAATCAGCGTCGCCCATGGACACCTGGAACACCAGAGGCGTTACAAGTGCGTTACCGGCCTTTTGGGGATTCGGAGTTTGAGGATCGTTGGGATTCAGGAATTGGGGAGATTGGGGAAGGAGAGGGTAATTGGGCCTCCGATAACCTCACTTACACGACGAAACACAACGCAAGCGTTGTTTCAGGTCGGTTTTCTGTGAGGCAGTGGTATCACTCCGGTCGAGCCGGCCCATTCGTGCCGAAGCATGGCTCTCTCACACTTATAGTGGCTTTATGGTTTAAATTTTAGTGTTAATGTTAATAAACAATTTTGTAATCGATGTGTTTTAAGTACTCTGTAAACATATAACAAATTGTACACGAAATTTGACATTAAACCGAAGCGAACCGAAGAAACAAGTAGAAATATAACTGTTTTAATAGTATTTTCAAGCTGTAATACGAGGAAAATCAGATGACATATTAAATGAACAAAAATAATATATTTTAGAACCTCAGTTCAAACTTTTTTTGACAACCCCTGTCCTTGTATGTTAACAAATTGATAATCAAAGCAAACAAAGCGAAAAGAGAGCCCTGTCACCGGTTTATTCAGCTTGATTAATTTAAGCTCGAACACGACGCATGTTTAGACAAACGCCTATAGTAATTTTCACTGACGACGATACGTGCTGTTGCTATGCGGAAAATGATAGGCGCTTTTTTATTTAGTACTTCTTTTTTGTTAAAATGTTGAATTGAACACGACAACGTCGAATGACATGTGTGGTTTATTATAGTTTCCACAATGAATAGGGATAAAAAATAGTCTAGTGATTTTAATACAAGGAGGGAAAATTAAATACAAAATATATTTACAAAAACGGTTCATGCCTTATGATATCATTTGAATAACCATTTCGAGTTAGAAATATAAGAGCTATTTCGTTGCGAACATAATATTCTTTTTAGAAATACGTAATTCGGAATTTATTTTTATACTTTTATTAAAAAAAAGTCATGAATAACTTTATGGATAAAAGATGATAAGTTCGGAATAAACAATTCATGCGATATTTTTTTGCGTCAAGATATGGATGACAGATGAAAAAGATATGTTGGCTGTCTGCCTTCAGATTGAAAGACGCGGGTTTTTGGAACCCATCAAGCGGAAAAGTAAATTACTTTTGTTCTATTTTCAGTCATACGTAACGTTGGAAAACCGTTGAATAATAATTTTATCTATGAACCTATTTTTTGGTATAGTTACCTAACATGCCTTGTAATCCAGATGAAAAGTAATTATGTACATATGTACATAATAATATTTATTGTATCTAACACATACTTTTTTAGTAATACGATTCCAAGGGCATAGTGGGTGAGTCTATATATGTACATAGAAAAAACTGATATAATTTAGAAAGTCGAAATTGTTTAAAAACTGATTATCCAAATTAGCAATTGATAGACTGAGACAACATAATGTCAGTACGTCACTCTAACCACAAACACAGTCCTAATTACAAAAAATGTTTAACGCAAAAAAATCACAACACCATTTCGAAACCCATAAAGTGCCTAGCGAGAAAGAGATGAAAGTATTTCGTTTGTTTCGTCTACAAATTAACGACTGGACAAGGGCGCCGGTGTCCAAAAATAACAATAGTTTCTGAACGCTATGACATAAGACAGTTTACAGTTAATCAGGCCAAATGCTTTTTGAATATTTGTATGAGTAAAACTAAAATAGAACAGACGTGTATTGTATTGATAATGGACACAGAAAATTGCGTCAAACATGAGTCCAAAAGCGGTAGACCTGCAGCTGTAGACAAATGCCATTTAGCGCTTGTCTACATGTAGAATAGAAAACCAAATTATATGGGATTGACGTAAATTTTGACACTTGTCAGTGTTATCCCCATACATTTTGATTTCTACTCTCTCTGTAGACAAGCGCTAAAGTGGCGTTTGGCTAAAGGCCCAGGGATGTCCAACCGGTCGATAGCGATCGACCGGTCGATTGCGACCATTAGTCCAGTCGATTGACTTGACAGACGTTCGTACATTAGATTTTTTCAGGTTGGCAATTCCAAACTACAAACATGATTATCCCAAACTAGTGGAAGATACTGAGACGCAGTGCCCACATCACAGTAAGATATAAATGGGACCGATAAATGTTGCTTAAACATGATCAATTCGAGACCTCCATTCCAAAATCTTAAGTACATTTAAGGAAACATCATACATTTGATATGAAAAGGAACCTCATGAAGGTACATCTTTTGTTGTAATATATTAGGTAGCATTTATAAGTCAGTTTATTAGAGATGACCTTATAGACATAATCATGCACTTTACCTTTTGTATTATTATTGAGAATTTTGCAATCATAGAACGCAATAATATTTAGCTTGACCCGAAGATTCCAGGAAACCACATTTTATTGGCATTTATTATTAGTCTCCGATTTATAGATATTTATAGGTTTTGGATAGGTATTATACAGTTAAGAGTAGTTGACTTATGAGATTGATAATCCATACGATGACAATCTATGTTGATATAGATAGTAGTTGTCTAGGTGGCAGAGTTATCGGTATTTTGGGATTTTAGGTTTTCATTTTACTGTATACATGTTCACTAGATAGCGCTAGTATTGACCTCTCATACTTCGTCCAATAAGGAATTACCTAGTGTCACGCCGTTGGACGTTCAATATTAAACAGCTGCTGTGATTGGAAACTGATCTCTTGCAAGACTGCGCCATCTATTGAGCAAAAAAGGTTGTCCCCATTACTCCCAATGGAAGGCAATAGTCTAAAATTGTGATAAAATCACTTTACTACTAAACGGACAAATCTGAACCGACACATATACACATGTAAAAATACATTTAAGTAC